AATGGGCATAATGGTGTACACGTGAGCATTTCACATAGTATGCACTTTTGAGCATAGTATTAAGCATACGGGCAGATTATATGAAGAGCACATATGAGCTTAACAATAAGCACATGTGCTGTTTTGTCTATTATGCACATTGTGCATATTAATGTATTATTAACCATATTCACTGTGCATAATAGCTTAGGCTTTAGTGGTATGCCCATTTGGGCATAATAAGGTGATAATGTGCATACTACTTCGGCCGTAGTGACTCCTAGGGAAGCAACGAAAAAGGGCACTGTTACAGGCCATTGTTTCAACTTCGTTGCTAGTTGTATGGACGTCATGGATCAACATCCAGAGTTTAAAGATTATTACCTGATAATAGATAACGCCCCCATTCACAAGCACGAAGATATACAGAAATATATCGAAGGCCGTGGTTACCGTTGTTTATACGTTCCTCCATACTCGCCTGAATTGAACCCTATTGAACAGTTTTGGTCAGTGGCTAAAAGCAAACTCAAGCCAGAGAAGCTGTTAGAGGAAGAGACCTTGACATCAAGAATCCGAGATGCGTGCAACAACGTTTTGCTCAGTGACCTTCAAGGTTTCTGTCGCTACTCCCTCGGTAAGTTTGATGATTGCTTGAACAGAAGGCCACTTTAATGCTTCGCTCATTTCGTTCACTATAAATAAACCAAGTTCAAAATTTTTTTGTGAACTATTTTTTAATTTTTTTCTGATTGGTTTATTTTTTTTATTGTGAACGAATTTTTTTTTTTTTTGTGAGCGATTATTTTCCGGAAATAGTGTAGTAATTACAAACTACAGGATATGATACAAGCTCGCAACTCAAACAAAGGAAAGTAGTGTAGGTTCAAACCTAGAATCCCATCGACTAGTAATATGAGACAAAGATTACACCATGGCTAACTTCAGTGCTATTTTTTTTCACATTTATCATCAGTTCTAATGACTAGTGATTAGGTGTATTACTGGATGACTGGTGATAAACTATTTTATCACTAGTGATGCTTTTATCACAAAGACTAAATTGATGATCAGTGATAAATACGATAATCGCTTGCGATTAGCATTTAGCAGCATTGATAAATCAATCACTGGTAAAACATCAGTGATTTTGCCTATATATCAATCACTACTGGATGATTCGTAATCATAAAAAATATACTGCTGATACTGTTTATCTACTGAACCATTGATAGACATTTATTGCAAAATTAGCCATAACACTGTATGTATAGGGCTAGAGTTTTTGTTTTACAATTACAATTACAATTTTATTTAAAAATGAATATATATTTTCAACTAAAGATATTATTGAGATTCATTATATGTTAGATGGAAGATGATATATATAAACAAGAACAATTTATGAAAAAGAAAATATTAAGACAGTATAGAAAGACATAAAACAGAGAGAAGCATCATCATTTCTAACTTTGATACAGTATTCAGAAAGCAAAATTTAGCCTCGATTATATTATTAAAAAAAAATGAAAGCGGCTTACCATCATTAAAAGTATACAAATTAGCAAAATCTACAATGGAAATAGCACATTTTGAATAAAAACGGCGGAACATGTCATGCTATGATAAACAAAATACTAACCAGATTTGATGTCAGTGAAGAGAAGTGTAGATATTTAAAGAGAAAAAAAAAAGGAAAAGCAAAGTGTGCAGTATTTATAGACTCGTGCTAATCTCAAAAGCAAATCTAAGATGTTGTATCCATATAAAGGCTACATATGTCATATCTAACTTAGTCATAATATACGGATCGTGATTGCTATAAAAATTAAAAAAAGCTTAGAAAAATACAATTATAACTCTTCTTGGTTTATTAAAGTTAAAATGTAAGTGAAGTTCTGGTTAGCTCCTTGGAACTTCATCTTATTTATAGTAAAGTAAAATATAGTGAATTCAAGTTACTAATGTAATAACTTGATCTTGATTAATTTAAGCTTCATGGGAAAGCAGTAAGCAGTGCTTGATTAATGTGGAGTACAAGTTGTACAATCGTCTTTAAATGTATAATATTAATGGTATACTTCTTATTATTAATGCTTTATTCTCAGGATCTTAGTCAAGAACTAAGATCTGCTTTACTAATTCAATATGATGTGTGAAAGACTGCCAGTAATTCACATCAATGATATTAATTGTTGGTAATTCTTTTACAAATAAGGAATAAGCTACAAGTTGTAATTGGACCTCTTGCAAGGTTCCAGGCTTATTCAGAGAATACATCTAGATCAGATCGCGGGATGTCGGGAAGACATCCTACCCAATCTTCTCTTTAATGTAAAATAGAAAGGTAGGTCTGTCCTGGAAATGCTGTGATTTAATAAGGTTTGACACTTTTTGTCAAACATCAGATGTTATGTGGATAAACATTGATTGGGATATATTTTAGTATAAATAGAGATCATATCTTATGTCAATAAAAGTGTTCAGTTTTGTATCTGGTTTTATTCAGAAAAGTCTTTATTACCTTATACAAATCTTATTTACATAACATTACGCTGCGCCCTTTGACACTGGCACAACATAAGATGCTCATTTGTTTCCAGTGATAGCTTTGAGTAAGCTGTGATAAAGCGATCAGTTTTTTAATTTTCAGTGATTGTCTTGAATGCCTGGTGATAAATTAAGCACTTTTGCAACATGGCTATTAAAAAAATATTGACTAGATTGTTAATGGTGCTAAAAAGTGCCTTTCAAAAATTTATACCTTCTTGGACCATTCATACGTCCATAGCATGTAGCCACTATAATTTATATATCTTTGGACTAACATTTATTGTCTATAAAATATATTGA